ATGGGTCCAGTGATCAGAAGTTGATGCCATTTAAATTAAATGGAAGGAGATATTAAAACAGGTCAGTAGCAGGGGTGAATTAGCATATAAAATCACTGACGTAGCACTGAGGAATTTTACTGCATGTAACAAACTGGGGAGGGGAACCATATGCCTGGAGTTTACCAAACATAGCACCCACGCCTAGGAAATGGGGCAAGAGTAATCATGACAGCTACAGAGCCTTTACTCTGACCTCAGTAGCATTCTTCCATTTCCAGCCAGTCTTGATGATGAGCAGAGAACCTGGTTCACCTCAATCTGCTTTTATGGAAGATAGGTTATCCCAGCCTGGCAATATAACTGGCACCTTTCTCTGGAAAGGAGAGAAGCTCTTTTAGGCATGAAGAGCATGGCACATCCAATCCATGCAGGCAATCCAGGCAATCAGTGCAGGCTCTGCACTGGGGGAGATGGATTTGGTGAGTGTGACCTGAGCTCCTCAAACCACGGCCAAGAGACTCTGCCCTTTGGCATGTCCACTGATGGATTTGGTGCAGACATATTGGATTTAGGAAGACTGCTGATTCCCCATAGCTGAGATGAAACTAATTCTCCTGTGGGAGAAATTAAGTTACCTTGAGGAACAGCAGCGCTACAAAATCTCTTGTAAAAGGAACTTCTGCTTCAAGCTGTGAGCCCATCCACTGGAAACAACTGGGGGTAAAAGAACCTGTCAGTCACAGACTGATGCTAAATCTCTGATGTGATGTGGCTCTGAGAAAATGCAAGTATGATGGTAGCAGGTGTCAGGGGAGATATTCCCTTCAGAGAAAGGAGACTGATTCTGTCATTGTGGGAAGCCCTGAGGAGTTCATGTTCACAGTCCTGTTACGACTCCAATCAACCTTGTTCAACAGAGATTATCTGAAAGCTGAACAGGTGGGCTGGAGATCTTTCCTCCAGGACCTGCAAGAGTTTGGCTCATTCTGCCTGGCAAGAAGCAGACTGCAAAGGGAAGGGATGCAGCTGCTGCCTGAGCAAAGAGCTAAAAGAAGAACGTTTGGGGGGAGAAGAGTTACTGAGTTTGACAGTAGAAGAGATGAAGTTATAAAGCCTCAAGATGTGCTTCAGCTGGAATTAGAGGCTCCTTCACCATGAAAGGAGCAAAGTTGTGGGGCAATCTCCAATTTAAAGGAGATCCAGTCACTGCCACAAGAGAAGCAAGGACATCTTCTCCTTGCCCACGATCAAAACCAGAGGCCTCTTTTTCTTCCAGCTGGTGAGCCTAGTAGTGTTTTCTTACCCAAATAAATGGATGACATAGACCTGCTCACACTCTACAGCTTTGTTTAGGGGACAAGAGCTGCCCTCAGGATCTGGTAGTCTTACCCCACCAGCTGTAGAAAGATGGCCTCTTCATCCCAGTATCAGCTTTTCAGCCTCTGCTCTTCTCCTGTAGGTCTTCCTTTTATTCTGCTTTTTGTCCCTTTCCAGACATCAGCATGCAAAACGCTCTGCCTCCTGCTATTCCCCCAGCATCTCCCACCCCTAAGGTCTCCACAGGTGCCTTATGCATGTGTGTGGAGAGCAATCAGTGCCTCACCTCCAATAATTGGAGCTGAACCTCCGGAGCTGAGAGATGAATTTGATCTCTGCTGTTCTGCATGTGAGGGATGAGCCAGGGGCTGAGTGCTGCTGATTGCGGTGCGCTCAGGAGAATTCACACTGTGCCGTGGAGATCAAGACATCCCAACAGGACATGAGCGTGCACCTCTTCCCATTCCCTGGGCTCTGCTCCTGTGCTCTGAGGAGGTCCAGCTCCTTGTAAATGAAAAACACTGATTGCTCTGAAGCAGCTTTATTCCTCTAGCCTCTATCTAGGGATATTGGTATTGGCGTGCCATGCTGCACTGCTCCTTGCAGAGTGGCTTTGCCATCAGCGTGCTGCTACAAGCAGAAATAGCCCCACTGCCTGTACAAACAGCCACATACATCCAAGAAGTGACATAGCAACTTGTGCACGTCTCCATGGGCTTGTATATACACATGTGGCTGTGATTTTAAGGTGGCCTCACCTGCAAACGCATGAGACAGATACTTGGGTATGAATATCTGAAGCTGTTTTATCACAATGCATCCTCTTGCACAAGAAGCCAGGGGATGCAGGAAAGGCCAACCACAAATCATCTCCTCCCCTTGCACAGCACCACCTGCATCCTGATCGGGGCTGGGATCCACAGGGGAGGAGAGTCCAATCCCCACAGGTGCCATCACATTTAGGCAGGCAGTGGCATGTGCAAAAAACATGTTCATCCGTAACACTGGAGCAAATTACCGTCTGGTGATTATTTATATGAAGATGTGTTTGTGGATGAATTACCAACCAGCCTGGAGCAGGGAAACGGAGCAGTCACTCCACCTAACATCTCAGCAGGCGAGCCAACAACACACTCGGGGTAATCATTAACAAATTAACTGATCACCCAGGTCTCTCCCTCCCCACAGGGGTTCTGTGTGCTGTGAAGCCCAAAGCAGCAGATGTGCATTTGCAACATCAGAGCATCGGTAGCAGGTTGGGGCTGGCTGGCAGCAATTGGGGCTGGGCAAGGCCATGCCAAATCCAACTTGCAAAGTACAGTCTGTGAATGAGAAAAGAGAAGAAAGACCCAAGGAGCAAAGAAAAGAAAGGGAAAGGCTCCTTGAGAGGCAGAGGGAGGGAGTCTGAGATGAAATGAGGAAGTGAAAAAAAAAATTAACAGCCTTTTTTATTTCTTTTCACTTATAGACAATATTATGCTTCTGCACAGAAGGACTAATTTAGCCCTCCACGCAGCCCCAGTGACCCTTCCTAATAGAAACCATTTAAATCTTTAAACAATTTACATGAAAATGTAACTTTGCTGTGAATATATTTCTTCCCCCTCCTTCTCCCATCACAAGTGCAATCCTTCAAATCTCTGACAGCCTCCATTATCTCTTAATGAAGTGAGAGCATCTTTCTTAGGAGACGCGCCGGCCCCGAGGTTAATCGCCAGAACGAGGTTCACAAATAAAAATCAGAGGAGGGAAAAGAAAAGGAAGAGCTCCAGTGGGCAGCTCCATCACCCAGAGCCCCCAGATCCAGAAGGAAGATCAAATCCTCCCTGGGAGCAGCGAGGGCCAGAGAGGCTGTCCTGGGCTTATCCATCAGGAGCAGATCACAATGCAATCACAGAGGTTGGAAAAGACCTCAAGGATCCCCAAGTCCAACCCCACCCCATCCACTGATCACATCCCTCCACATCTCCGTGGTTCTGGGACACCTCCAGGGATGGGGATTCCCCCACCTCCCTGTGCAGCTGTGCTACTGCATCACTGCTGTTTGGGAGAAGATGGCACAGCCATCCAGACAGTATTTTACCCAGCAAAGTGTACACATGTCCAAGCCATGGGCTGTCAGCTCCTACAGGAGAGTCAAAGGCTTTACTAAAGTCCACGCAGACTTCATCCACAGCCTCTCCCTCATCCACCAGGCAGTCACCTGGTCACAGAAGGAGATCAGGTTAGTCAAGCTGGAACATGAGGTTGGTCAAGATTTTGCAGGAGCCACACGCACTTCCAGGCCAAGCACCAACTGCAAACCCCTCCGTGTATTTGCTTTCTGAAAACAAATGAGCCTCTGGGGTTGATGTGGGCAGTGACAGCAGAAGTGCATTGGGCAAAGCAGGGGCTGTGCCCTCCACCAGTTGCTCTCTGCTCTTCTGCAGGCTGGGAGGCTGCTTTGCACAAGCCTTTGTGGTGATGGGGGAGGTTTAAGAGAGAGGAGGTAATGAAAAATAAATGTAAAGGGCTGAAAACGAGGAGAGAAAGGCTGAAAAACTATTGAGCTGACAGGAGCCAGTATAGAAAAGGGGAAAAAAATCAGGAAGGTCTCAGGGGAAAACAGACTCACAAGAAGGGGGACTACAGACTCGAACAGAAGAGAGATGAAAGCTGAAAGCAACAGCAGAGGAAAATAAATAGCTATTTCCAGAGAAACAATAAAGTTTGAAATATTCAGAGCCAGAAGGAAGGAAAAAAAAAACCAAAACAAAAAAAAACCAACACCAAGAGATAACAATTCTGGCTGTAGAAGTTGCTTAAGTAAAGGAAAAAAAAAAAAAAAAAAAGCAGGAAAATGGAAGCACAAAAGTGCAGAAACAAGGAGATGAGTGAGGCAGGGAGCTTCACCACGGTGCAGCCTGCCCTGCACTGTGCTCCAGCATGGGACATGGCAGCATCAAAGCACAGCAGTGGAGCTCCCTGAGCACAGCATCTTTCCCAAGCTCAGTGCATGAAGTGCATGAACAGATTCCGTGTGGCCTTGGCACAGTCCCCATCCAATTGCCTCCAAAGCAAAGGATGGAGGAGCCTCTGGCCACAACTGGAGTGTGTTTATGTCCTGTCTGACCTTAACACAACCTCACTGCTGCCCAGCAAACCCAGTGCTCTAAGAACACCCACTGCTCACCTGCAGCGGGGCTGGGAGCTGCTCCTGTGGCTCCATGCATCAAATCCTGCATCTACAAAACCTGCAGCCCCAAGTGGATGACAGATCTCCTTGCTGATAAGCACACAAGACAGCTATCAATCACACCTAAGTGGAGGCAAATCGGTCCTTATCTGTGCTGCTTGGCTTTCCCAGCTGATGTCAAATAAAACGTGACTGTGAGTGCTGCTCTGCAGCTTTGGGATGTCAGAGCATGACGTGTCACCCAGATGTCCTGTGGTGGGGCTGAGCCCAGGGTGCACAGGGTACACCCAGAGCCTTGACTGCTGGTGTCAGTGCTGCACATAGGCAAAGAGAGGGACCTGGTGCATGCCCAAGGTGTGGCATCACACTGGGGTTGCACGGAGCTCTCCTGTTCACATCCCATAGAGTCATACAATCACAGAACCATTAAGCTTAGAAAAGACCTCTAAGATCCCCAAATCCAACCCCAACCCAGTCCACCATGCCCACTGACCACATCACTCAGTGCCACATCTCCATGGTTCTGGAACACCTCCAGGAATGGGGACTTCCCCCATCGTGTGCAGCTGTGCCACTGCAGCACCACTCTTCTGGAGGAGAAATTGTTCCCAATATCCAACCCGAACTTCCCTTGGAGCAGCTTAAGGCCATTACCCTCATTTGTTGCCCTTGCCATCCATCACTGCCATTCGTCAGCTTCATTTCATGTTGGAGGGCATCAGTGGTGTCCCCTCTTGTTCTGGACACAGTTCCTCCATTCCGTTTGGAATTTAACTCCTCCCTCAGGGGCAGAGAGGGGCTGCAGGGACCCCATCCAGGAGGAATGGGAGGTGAACCATCAGGGGATGGGGGAAGTCAGTCTCTTCCTCCGCCACCTGCCTGGCTTCTCGCAGAGCTCCCTCCCCGCAGCACGGAGAGGCACAAACAGCTCTCGTTAGGTGAAGAGGGTTTGGAGGGTGAGTGGGTGGCAAATAACAGTCGCATGTCAGGCCTGAGTGCCTACAGCCCAGCAGTCAGCTCCAGCAGGGCTTTTAGCTGCTCCCTCCCGCCCACCTTCCCCTCTCCCTGCACACGGTGAGCAGGAGCGAGTTAACCCCATAACCTTTAATCAAGGGCTTGTGTACACGGACGGGGATTGATGGAGCTTGCCTCCCTCACGGCCTCACACCACGGCTCCGATTACACCATTAACTCCCCAAGCTGAGTGCCTGGGCCAATATTGGCAGCCAAGAAATAATGGGTCTGGAAAATGCATTACGAGAAATCACAGGGAAGCGGCGGGCTGCAGAAATGGGCATTTCCACCTTGAGGTGCTGAGGGGATGTGAGGAAGCCAGGAGCTGCCAATAGGAGGGGGAAGCCGAGGGCCCTGGCTGTCCTGAGTGCAGGGCTACAGCCCAGCCAGGTCTGATGAAGAAGGCACATCCCAGAGGGTGGGGACACCCCATCACCAGCTCTGGGCAAAACACCAAACCCAGGGGACTGCAGAAACAAGGGCACCTCATGCCCACCTTGTGTCTGAACCTTAGACTTCTCCCCCTCTGTTTCGCAGACTAATTGGGTCTTTATAGATTTTGTGACCCAAAAGAGAGATCTCTCGTCCCCACACAGGGTAGTGAATGCAGCTGGGTGCAGATCTGTGGGGTCTGCAGATGCAGAAAGGGAAGCACTGAGCATCACTGATACTGAAAGTTGTGGAGGCAGCCCTGTGTTGATCTGGGGAAAGCTGAATTGTTAAGGTCAGCCAGAACATGTCCAACAGGAGAACTAAAAGGAAGCACACAATGTGGCAGGCAGCAGCTCCAGTCTGGACCGTGAACAAGGACAGCCCTGCAGCTGTACACAGGGCCACAGTTATGGACTAACTGGCTCTTCTGGGGCACTGGAGTTCTTATTCCTCCTGGTTTGGGTCAGAAGTGTCACCCCTAGAGGTGTCACTGGTAGGGAGAAAATCCTGTGCTGGTAAAAGACCAGCCACCTTGGCCAAACTCAACAAGCACTCAGCACAGAGCCAGCTCTGCACAGCTTCCTTGCTGCTCAGTGTATTGCCACAGCTCCTGAAGTGGGAGCATCCCTCCCTGCAGCTCCATGGGGTGCCATAACCCAGTCAGGGAGCAGTGCTCTGAGCACGATGGGGCTGTTGGCACTATATGAAAACAGCCTTGAGCAACTCTCCTGGAGCAGCCCATGGGGTGCTTGGGGACAGTTCTGCTTTCATGGAGGAGGCTCAGCCTCCTGCCTCCACGTCCACGAGCAGCTGGGAAGTGGGATGCTACTGACACCCAGTGGCTCCCTGCATCCTGCAGAAGGGGACCAGCTCCTTCACAGGTGGAGGAGACCTGTCCATCCTCCCCCCTGGTTGGTGATGGTGTGGGGGGATCTGGGGTCCTCATCTTTTGGGTCTCATCTGTGAAAGAAGAGGTCGGAAGCCCTGGGTCACCACACAGGGTTGGCAGAGGGACCTCAGCAGAGTGGCTTTGCCGGGTGGCAAATGGGACATGGGGGAGAAGCAGGAGCATCCCCGAGGGCTGTGTCTCCACTCTCATTCTGTACTGCCCACCTCACAGCACAGGATGGGAGATTCTGTGCAGCCTCCTCACAGCTGTGCCCACCTCTGCAAATGGCGAAATAATTCTCTTCTAGAAGCTTTCATGTGCCAAATAAATGCTGGAGGATGGGAGGAGGAGAGAGGTTGGGTTTAGTTTCCTCTGCAATGTTCTGGTTACCGCTTTCCTGATTGCTCCATCAGCTCTGGGCAGCTGCTCCAAGCTCTGCAGTCAGCACACACAGCACAGGGGTGGCTGGGGCTTCAGGAGGAGCTCCGTGGCACACTGTACACATGAGCTGTCCCCTCACAAACACTGCAGGCAAAGAAGCAGATTAGAGCTGGAAGAGGATCAGACTCCATCAGGAAGTCCCACTTGCATTCCAGAAGAAGGCCATCTATGTAGGGAGCTATTTAGGAGCAGCAATGGAGATTTGCAATCCGCTCCACATGTCATTTCAGCCCCAAAAATCAAACAAGCAAGCAAACAGCAAGGAAAAATAACAACAAACTGCCTGCATTTGGCACCCCACAGTGCAGAACCAGAGCAAACACAGCCTCTGACCTGACGAATAGCAACAGATAAGATGGACACAGAGTAGAATAAAGAAGGGGCTTGGGAGCTACAATTCACAGCTGAGAGAAGCACATTTTTTCATGGCCTTTCACACTGACAAGCTCTTGTTTTAGCTACGGAGAGCACCCAGAGACTGCTGGAACTGAACTGCATTTTTAATTATTTGTTTTTATCAATTGCTTTGCATTTAGAAGCTGCTGATAACAGGAGCCCACTGTGCTGTGTGAGCAGACACTGACTGCACAAGGGCAGTGATTCACCTGAGGAGGATTATCTCAGAGTCCCACAGGGGACTGGCATCGCCCCTATGGGATCACAGGAAGAGGGATGCTTCCTCTGCAAGAGGATAAAGCAAGCGGCGGGTGGAGAAAAAGAAGCAGAAGCAATAAATGAAAGTGATGGTGGTCACAGCGCGTGGTGCACAGGTTTTGTGTGTATTCCTTCAGGAAGGGTTGTGGCTCTCTGATTACAGGACTGGGGAGTGCTTGTTGGAAATAAAGCACCAAATGTGGGCTGCAGACAGGGACAGAAGGCAAAATATGGAGTTTGTATCTGTTTCCAGGCTTGCATTACCCCTCATTATGCTCTGTGTGCCGTGCTTTGAGGATGACTCTGCAGTGTCCAAGGAGTGCAAAGGAACGCACTGGCTGAATTAATGCATCATTTCCATCTGTAATTTCTCACCCAAATGAGTCTTGTTGGCATACACTTGCACGCACGCACATCTAGTTCTGGAAACAAAGGGGCTGATTAGCATCGACCCTATTATCATTACTGTGGGCAGAGACAGCTGATCGATGCCTACTCAATAAGGCAGAGCTGAGTGCCAGTTTCTCAGTGACATCTCCGTCCCCTCATGAGGACAGGTCCACAAAGGACCCACACGGGGAGGATGGCTGCCAGGTGTTCCCAAAGGTGTGATGACAGTTTGATCTCAGGCATCAGGGCCCTGCTTGCAGCTGCCTTCCTCATGGCAGGACCTCAACCATCCCCAGTCAGGACGTGGACGTGCCCAAGCACATGGTCTGCACCCAGGGATAAGGATGAAAGCTCTGTGTTGCTCCACACACCTCTTGCCCAGCTCAGTAAACATCTTGTGCCAAAGGGATTAAAACATAAAGATCCTGAGCCGACCTTTCAGCTGGCCCTGGCTACCTCCTGCAAGCTGTGGCTCGGCATTAATAAATAGCTCTGCTCTGCCTTCCCACTCTTCCCAACCTGACACTTTTTCAATAGCCTTATTTTCTTCGGTTTGTTTTGTTCCCTGCAAGCACTCTCAAACTCTTCACTTCTGGTTCTTCTGCACAAATTGGCTTTCTCTCCTGTACTGTCTGGAGGGTGGCAAAAACCCCAAGGTCAGCTTCAAACCCCAGTTCAACCCCAGTTCAACCCAAATCCCCGTGCTCCCCTGTCAGAGCCTCCATGCCCTTCCCTTGGCTCATACCCAGCGTGGGGACCATCCCTTGTGTGGACTGGACAGGCAGGGCTGCTCAGGGGCTGTGCCTGCAGCTCACAGCACTGTCATCTGGCCAAGGGGCGATGAAGTCATGAATTACTTCAGCCAGGTCGTTATCTGCCGGGATGAGGTAGAAGCTCCTTGCCAGTTAGGGCTGACAGAGGGCATCAATCACAGCCGTTCCCTTGTGAGAGAAATCCAGAAGCACAGCCAACACCGGGTTGCGAGTGGGGAGTGACCAAGAAGAGGCATTCCCAGGGGAAGCTGCAGACTCTTCAAACTGCCTTTTTACCCATGTTGCTCAGATCCAGCCTCCTGGCATGAGGACACTGTGTCACTGCCCTGGCCTGATGCCACTGCTGCCAGCTGAGGCAGCCCCATCCTGCCTGCTCCAGAAGGCTGCACGAGGACACCGGCCAGCCCAAAGGCACTGGGAGAGCATCCATCAGGGGCACTCGGGTCCCTGCAGCTCACATTCCAGCTCGGATCCAGGTGCTGAGAGGACTGGGCAGCAGCTTGCCAGCTGAGCGTGTTGCTGGCTTTGGGATAACATTTCAGATCCTGGCTTTCAGGCGTCTGCACAATTCATTGCTCTTCAATAAACACAATGCATGTCACACCCCAGGGCCATTTGCGCACCAGTAAATCCCAGTCCCCTGTCTCCAGGAATCTGTAAAAACCAGTAAGACACCAGTGCACCCCACTGGGCTCTGGCTGCCCTGCCACCACAGCAGCAGCAGAGCGGGGAGTGGGGCTGCGCTGGGGATTGGGGACGTGGCACCACAACAGTGCTGCCCCACAGGTGCATACAGAATCATAGAATCATTATGGTTGGGAAAGACCTTTCAGACCCCCGAGCCCAACCCCAATCCTCCCCACCATGCCCACTGCCCACCTCCCTCAGTGCCACATCCCTGTGTTTCTTGAACGCCTCCAGGGACAGTGACCACCACTCCCTGGGCAGCCGTGCCACTGCATCACTGCTCCTTCTGAGAAGAAATTGATCCTAATATCCAACCTGAAGCTCATCCTATTGGCCTCAGCCCAGCGATCAGCCTGCCCAGATCAGTCTGTAGGGTCTTCCTATCCACACACAGATCAACACTTCCTCCCATCTCAGTGTTATCTGCAAACTTACTGGGGGTGCACTCAATCACCTCATCGAAGTCATCAATAAATACACCAAACAGGACAAGCCCCAATACCAACCCTGGGGAACGTCACTCATGGCAGTCACAGCTGGGTTTAACCCCATTCACCACCGCCTTCTGGTCCCAGCCCTCAGCCAGTCTTTTTACCCCTGTCCCACATGGCATGAGGGTTTAACAAACGAATGAATTTTGCTCTCAGCTGCGTGCAGCAAGTATTCCAAAGCTGGAAATTAAATGTTTCCCTTTTCTCATTTAGCCTATTTTGATTTGCCATACATACAACTGCATACATACAATCTCCCCATATCTCCCCCAACTGCAGGTCTGTGGTTTCCCTTCCACGCAGCAATGAATACTCTACCAACTTCAGGCACTGCTTTCAGCCACCCACATCTGCTGTCTCTGGCACCTCACCGTGCCACATGTTGCTCAGGAACCCAGAACTGATACTGCATCTCCCTTGTGGGTCAGTGTGGCCAAAGACAACCCCCTCCTTCCTCTGCTGGTCAAATCTTTTTTAAAATTTCAATCTGAAGTGCACTTATGTCCATTTTCTTCCATGCCAATTTTCTATTTAAGCATCTGCATCCTTCTCACTCCACGGCGCCGTGCAGTGTGATATACACAGGGGGAGTGATCCTGTTCCCACTCAACTTCTGTTTTGCTGGGCTTAATAAGCCAAGAGTCTCCACTGCAAAAACATGCTTCTCACTGCTCTGGCCAGCCTTTTCCCTGCTGTTGCAAGTTTTGGATGGATGCCATAAAAACGGTGACCATACTGTGAAAAGCTTTAACAAACTGCTTTTACGTGAATGCAGCACAACCAAATCTTTTTTCCTTCACCGTAGGGTACATGAGATTGAGCCCATACCACAGACTCGGATGTACATCCATGAAGGCAGTGATTCTGCTGTGGCACAGCTGCCCAGGGAGTGCTGGGATCACCATTCCTGGAGGTGTTAAGAACTGTAAGGATGTGGCACTGAGGGACGTGGTCAGTGGGATGGTGGGGTGGGTTGGGGTTGGACTTGGGGATGTGAAGGGTCTCCAACTGCAATGATTCCATGATTCTATATGGATAGCCAAGGCAGCCTCCCAGGACAGGGGCAGAGCTTCAGCACCATCACAGGTATTTGCAGTCCCTCTTCTAACAAAGGCCATGGGCAGCCTGCTGGAACAATCTCTCCCACTAAACTGTCCCAAACACAAAGCTGCTCTGGAATGCAAGAAGCTCTTTAGGAAGCACTAATAGCTAAAATTTGCAAAATCCCTTTTCCTCCAATAGCTCTGCAAATCCATTTTAGAATTTGCAAATTTGTTCTAGGATTAGATTAACAGGTTTCATGACTTACAAACCTATTCTTCTCTCTCTCTGTCCCCTTGACTTTAGGAAGCAATCACAGACTTCAGCTCAGTCCAAATCTTCAAAACGATTTCTCAATCACATCTGTTGAGATGTCCTGGCAGGGCTTGGTATGTTAGGAGGGAGAACATCAAGAAAACCCAGTGCCAAATGCTGCATCCAAACAGGACTCTCAGAAGCCCCAGTATGGTGCCTGCTAGGAAACTCCATGCTGGCAAAAGGAGCACGCCATTCCCTGCAGATGTTACCAACAGGAACCCTGCTGCAAGCCACTGGCAGGCAGTGGATGATGAATGACACTTGGCCATTACCAGCTGTGTCCGAAGTTGCACAAGAGGGTGAAGGTGTTGTGGTATTACCCAGAACACTCCACAAGCATTCAGCTTGCAGCTCGAGGACTTCCCCAGCTAGTGATGGTGAGTTTGTACTCGTTCCCCTTGAGGGATTTGTTTCCTTTGCCCGCAGCCCAGGTGTGCTGTGGGAAATCCCACCTCCAGCATCCTCCCTTGCACGTCTGCACTCAGGCTGTCTAAGCATCCCTCTCTGCACTCCAGTACCCAGGTGGAAGCAACCAGGACACCAGGAGATGAGCTGCAGTGAATCCTAAGGTAGTGTGGGTCCTGTGCCCGGTGGAGCTGCAGGAGCAAATCACCCATCAGGCACCAATAAAAGGCCCTGCTGGGCAGCCCCAAAGACACTGCCTCAGCACTGCTCTGCTCAGTGTCCGCATCGCTCCCAGCTTGGGCTGATGTATTCTTAATTAGCATCTTAATGTGAGGAGCATATGTAATGAAGCATGAAACGAAAATCCCCATCATTTAAATTCATTAACAGTCATCGAAAGTCTTCAATGCAGAGGTGGAATTATCTCCAAACTCCTTCTGAGAAACCAGCTGTGCTCACTAAACTGTGCTGGATGTCGCTGCACCAGCGTGCTTATTTATTTAGCTGCTTCCTGCAGATCTGTCCCCAGGTTACTGCAGACCATGCTCACCAGGTCGCCTGCTGCCTATGCTGCACAGACACATGGGGTCACGGCCACCCCCCCACACCTAAGTACAGAAGCACCATTCACAGGTTGACCATGGAAATATCACCAACATCCCTGCTGAGGATGCTCGCCGGTTGTGTTTACCACTCGGATTACTCTGTCTCTGGTGTTTGCTCTTCTCCTTATACTTGCGGCAGGGAATACCTCCAGTGGCTGCTGTGTTTGATCACCCCCTGCTGCAGCTGTTGTGTTTGTAAGGCAGTGGGAGCACCGCCTGGTCCAGCAGCAGGAGGTGGTGAGAGGGAAAGGGATGCACAGATGTGCCAGAACCCAGATCTGCCTGCACCCAGATGTGCTGGTACCCAGATGTGCCAGTACACAGATGTGCTGGTACCCAGATCTGCCTGCATCCAGCTGTGCTGACACTCAGATGCACTGGCACCCCTCTG